TAGTGTGTTTTATTTCTTTTCTCTTTCTTTTTTCCTTTTCTTGAGATTCTTTGTTGCTCTTGGAAGATAAGCKTGTTTGTCTTCCTTTTGTAAATCTTCTTTGATGAATTAATGAAAGTGTTATTGATCAAAAAAAAATTGTGGTTTCTCGAGTTTTTCCACCAGGGTCGCACTGTTTTGGTGCGACCCTGATTCCACGATTTTGGGATCTAGCATCCCACATTTTTCTCATCCCATCCCTCTATTTCCCTCAAAACAAATAAGAGAAAAAGGAATATTTTTGGAATATTCCCTTTTTCTCATCCCCATCCCACAAACCAAACGGAGCCTAAGGGTAGACTATTGTGCAGCCATCAATTTGTGATACTGACCTATTCATCAATTGAGAGTTGGAAAGAGATCCCAAGTTGTGATCAGATGGATAGGGAATGAAGACAACATTGATCTCTTTGGCATGCTATAAGAGAAGCTAGATTTTTTACAAGAACTAATAACTCATTCAAGTTCATTAATGAATTAGCTAATTTAGTTGTGGGTTCTCTAGCTAAGGAGACAATGGTGATGACAGACCCTTTTTTGTGGCATGAGGAACAAGAAAAGCAGGAAGCTCAGGAAAAGAAAAGAAAAATAAGTAATTTACATTTAATGGAAAGTTAGAGATCAACAGCCAATATAGTTGCTAGAGGAAAATGAGAACACTAACAATCTAACATATGTCATATATCCCTTGGGCACATGGATACAACATATGGGAGGCAAGGCAAGGGCATTGGGCCATTGGTGCTAGGATGACCATGTCCCAACTAAACCCCCTTCCCCTTAGCCTTTAATTTAACCTATGACTCACCATCCAACTTTAATCCCTCCTATGCTATGAACAAACTCACATCCCTCCCCTTACCAATGTATGCATATATGCATGTGTAGGAAGGATTAAAAGTTGGATATGTACATGCATATGAATTTTTTTGAAGGTAATATGCATACATATGAATAGATATATGTTGTATATGTATGTACATATACAAAATTATTGGTCATGTATATGTATACATAAGCATATATACAAATGCATGTATTTGTGTATATACGCTTACATATGCAGTAGGTTATGTCTTAAAACATCGTGCCAAAGATGAAAACACAGGGTAAATATCATTGCTGACTCTCATTTCTCATATTGAAGAGTTGGACAATGTTGAAATTGAGAGAAACCTCCATGTGGAAGAGAGAGAATTGAGATGGAAATCAAAGAATGAGTTAGAGGTCCTTAAGAGAGAGGAAATATCCTAGACACAAAAGTCAAGACATAAATAAATAGAAGAAGGGGATTGGAATACAAAATTCTTTCATGCGATGTAGTAGCTTCCTGAAACCAAGCAGCATTATCTCATTATCTCATAGGATGGGAATACAAAGCTCCAAGAACCCCTATTTGCTAATGTTGTTCATTCATTCATTGCAATAAAATATCTTCTTAAAAGGCAATAAAAGTTATAAAATCATAACTTTTTATGTGAGAAATAAGAACTTCAGACCCTAACATAGACTTGTTCGGGCTTGCCTCGAGGGCGTGGTACAAAGGCGACTCATAGAATCAAGAATGCAATATGTTTTACATCACATTAGCTACTTGAGCAATGCAATTAAGGAAAAAATGAGATCGTGGGTTTTACATGCTTCAAAATGTTTTATATGTTTGATTTTATTTTTAAATTTCCATTTGAATATGCTTTACATGTTATGTTTATGTATTTTAATTTTAGATAATAGGTTTTTTAAACCATTAATTTTAAAATTTAAGTTTATATTTCTTATTAATAGTTTTTTTTTGCATTTTTTTGAATTTTCTAACATTTTTTTTATTTTTTTTAGCAATTTTTTGTATTTTCGTGCCTTGCTTCAAAAAGGCGCACGCCTCGCCTTACACTTCTCGCCTCAAGCGCAAATTGGCCCTTGTGCCTTGCGCTTCTAAAACACTGGCATAACAGGGATTAACATGGAGGAGAATGTCCTAAATAGGGTAGTGGAATGCTTAGAATGTCATATCACCCCTTGGCCTTTGACCTACCTAGGGCATCCTCTAGGTGCAAACCCCAAGGAAAGCAGTTTTTGGAACCCAGTTATAGAAAGGTGTAAAAAGAGATTTTTTTTATCAATAACAGGAAGCATTTCATTAATAAAAGAGATTAAAATACAAAGGAGGGGAGATAAAATATCTTAGTTCCCCTAGGGATCAAAATAAGCAATTGAGAGAAAAACCAGTTACAAATGAGCCCAAAAAATAGAATCCCTATGCACCCCTTGCCTAACTAAACCATCAGCGAAGGAGTTGGCACTTCTCTTTACCCAAATACATTTTACATCAATGTCCTTAATCAACCACTTAAACTTCCTCTTCTCATTGTTGTAGTTCTAGAGCCCAATCTTGTCTTCCTTTAACCAGCCCGCTACTATCTTAGAATCACCTTCTATGACCAGCTTATTGATATTCAGGTCCCTTGCTCGTTTTACCCCTTCCATGACCGCCATTACCTCAGCCCTAAGGGAATCTCCCACTCCAATTGGACTAGAAAACATGGTTATTATATTCCCTTGTTCATTCCTTAGAACTCCCCCAATGCCAAAAGGCCCTGGGTTTCCCAAACAGCTACCGTCGAAATTCAATTTGATGAAGCCATGAGGGGGAGTATTCCATGATGGACTTGAAGTCATTTTAGATGGGACTAACTTCGCAATTTCCTTACAATTTCGTAGCAGATCATCCACTAAGAACTCTGTGAACAGCTCCAATGGTTTCAGCCAATGTATTGCCCTCATGTGGATCACTTCCATGACAAAAGAGATTGGCTGCTTGGAAGAGATGTTACATCTCTTTGGGAGGTAGGATTACTCTGATAAGATCAACTTTGGCTAACCTACCCATCTATTTCCTCTCTGTTTTTAGGATTCCACCAAGAGAAGAAAAGAAATTAGAAAAAATTATGAGGGATTTCCTTTGGCAGCTGGGAGAGACTAGAAAGGACCACTTAATAAACTAGGAGATTGTGTGTAAAAGAAAGGAAGAGTGCGGTTTAGGTCTAGGGAATGTAAGAAAGAAGAATACAGCTCTTTTAGGGAAATGATTATGGAGATGGCCTCTTGAGAGGGAAAATTTGTAGGTTGAGGTAGTGGCAAGCACACATGGTAGATTGGAGAACAGCTAGGATGCTGGTGTATCACATAGAGCTACCTTGGCAGCACCTTGGAAAGCAATTCATAGCCTCTTCCAGTTTCTCAGGTATATTAGGTATGATGTTTGCTCAGGGAATTTAATTTGATTGTGGGAAGACACTTGGTTTGGTGACAGGACTTTAAAGGGTTTGTTCCCTTCTTTGTATTCTATTTCTTCGCATAAAAATAAGGTCATTTCGAATTTTCTTGTTCTTCCTTCTTTGCCTTTTAGTCTTAATTGGGATCTTGGGTTTCGAAGGGGATTGAAGGATGAGAAATAACTTGTCTATCAGAGCTTCTCCTTCTTGATAGTGTCTACTTAGAGCTTTCTATTCCAAATAGAAGAGTTTGGTTCCCAAGCCCTAAAGATTCCTTTTCTTGTGCCTCCTTTTTTACCTCCTTTTTTAAAGCTCTTTGCCAGTCCCCTTCCTCTGTCCTTTCCTTTGAAAGAAGTTTGGTTTCAATTGATTCCCCCTAAAATTAAGGCCTTTTGTTGGGAAGTGGCTCTTGAGAAAACTAACACTCTGGATTACTTGCAAAAGAAGAGGCCTTTTCTGTGTATTTCCCCAAATTGGTGCACTCTATGCAAATCTGATGATGGATCTTGTTACAACTTACTAATTTCCTATTCATTTGCTACAGATATCTGGGATTGGTTTTTCTCTTTGTTTGGGTGCAGGTGGAATATGCCAATGGAGACAAAAATGTTGTTTGCTCCATCTACTTTTGCTTTACCGAAGAAGAGGAGAAGAGTAATGTGGAGGTATACTAGAGCAGCAATGATGTGAACCTTATGGGAAGAGAAATGCCAAAATCTTCCAAGATAAAGAAAGGAGCAAACAACAAATTATGGAATGTGTAATAACCAAGGTTATATGGCTACAAACTTTGGAGTTATTCAAAATTTTCACACTTGATGATATTTGGAAGAGTTGGCCTTTAGTGGCATCTAGCTCAGTGCAAAAGGTTAAAGCAAGGATGGCTTGGATACCTCCCATTGAAGGATTCCTGAAACTAAACTTCGATGGGAGTAGTCAAGGCAACCCAGGCCCAACTGGAAAAGGAGGAGTCATCAAAGACAAGGAAATTTAAGAGCCCTCTTTTCAGGACCGGTGGGGAATGGAGACACCTTAAAGGCAGAACTGTACGCAGCCATACAAGGCGCGCAGATTGCAAGAGAGTTAGGATCGGAGAATTTGGTGATAGAAGGGGACTCCAAAGTGGTGGTGGGTTGGCTAAAAGACCCAGATTCAGTGATTTGGTGTTACAGAAATGAAATGAAGAAATTAAAATGGATAACTCAGCAGATGAATGTAATTATGCAATGGTGGGAAGGGAGGAAAATGCTTTTGCTGATTCTCTAGCTAAGCAAGGAGTAACTAGGGATCAATTGTACTGGGCCCACTTGTAACTTTATGTTGTTTCCATATTAATGGGTGAGGTTGCACCTCACACCTCCCACTGGGATGCTTGTAACAGACTCTTTATCCTTTTCTTCTAATGAAATCTAATGAATTTTTATCTATCATTATATAATATATATATATCATTTTAGGCTGAAAACTCCTTGTGCACAAGGAGTATATATATATATATACACACATTTTAGGCTGAAAACTCCTTGTGCACAAGCTGCAATGAGTATTTCAGTCTGCAATCTTAAGAGCTCAAAATTCTTACTCATTTAAAAGTAGAAGGCTGTTTATGTAAAGATGTCTCACCCCCAAGTATTCAGGTCCAACAGGAAGTTCTGTACAGATTTGCTCACTAGAACTTTCAACCAACAAAGCTGTCTTTGCCAAAGATAAAGCCTACAATAACAATGTATGAAACATCACCAGGAGAAAATTGAAAACATAGCTAGAATAGTTTATCATATCAAAAGAGTCAACACATTACAGCTGTAAAACTTTATTTTAAACCTATTTTAAAATAAAACTCTCTTTTGCTGATCAAAAAAAAGAGTCAACGCATTACAATTATCAAGGCACAAAAAAAATACATAAACTAGATAACCAAGTCTAATGGTTACTATCATAAAGATAAAATGCTATACTGTAAGGACCAAGGCAAAACTAAGCATTTAAAGTAGTGAAGCCCAGCTTTCCACATTTGAACTTTCACTCGTAGTCTCTATGTCCATAAGAATAAGTTTCACAGAGAGGCAATATCCCTGACTTCCCATTAACTAGTTCAGTACAGAGTTGCCAAATCAAATGAAATGGAGTTATACTGACCAAGTATTGGAATATTTCATTCCTTGCAACAAAGTCAGTCTCGCAGTTAAGTTCAATAACAGCAGCCCTTTTCTCATTTTGTGCTAGTGCAAGTAAACCCTCTGTAGCAGTTCGGGATGACTTTTTTGACGCTAGAACTACGCCTCTTCTTCTCAAGTCCTTCTGTGCAGCGTCTGCATAAAGTATCTAGTACCATATAAGGACCAAAATCTTTAATACAACGTGTGCATGATTCCACCAAGAATGAAGTACAAAAAACATAGATTTTACCAAGGTCCCAATTGCAAGCAACAAGAGCAGACTTGACGTCCTTTATGGGAGCACTTGTTCTTTCCCTCAGCTGCTTGATAAGATTCATCTGGTCCAGAGCAGGAACCTCAACACTGAAGTTTCTCAAGAACAGCTTCTGTGCAGAAACACATTTAGAACCACCATAGTTGTAGGAGAATAAGCTTCTGACTTCACTAACTTCAGAAATGTGAGACCCTCTGCATGTCGAAGAAGAATAACAATGCCCAGAACATCTAGAAATACCAAACCAGCTGAAGAGAAATTCAATTGGACGTTTTGCACCTCGGGAGAAAGCCATCCCAATATATAATAAATAGTAACTTAAAAGTCTGCAAAACATGAAATTATCTTAATTAGACTAGTAAAACATTGAAGATAACAAGCTAAGGAATAGAATACTAAATGCGAAATAAATGAACATCCATTTCTCTACCCAGAAAGAAAGAAAAAAGAAGTATGACTTTACAAATTTAAATTGCTAACATATGGAAAAGATGAAACACATATCAAGGATACTTCCATTACTTGTTGGATTATGCAAGGTATCTCTTTCTCTTTTTTCCCCTTTTTTCTCTCCCAAAAAGATGGTAAATATGAGAAAGAAGAAGGAAATGGAAAGATAAGCACAAAGGGATCCTCTAAATAAAACAATGAACGCATTTGGTGCAAAATTAGCTCATCTAAGCAGATTTTCTTATCCTATGAGGCTATGACGGGGAGAGAGAGAGAGAGAGAAAGAGAGGCAAAATCACTGATACAGAAAAATGTTTGGGGATTAAGGAATGCTGACCGGTAGGAAGTCAAGAAAAACACAATAACGCTTCCCATATCTCTATATATGAAGAATCACATTATCATTCAACAAAATATGAATACAAAACAATCTAAGAAGTTGACTACCTATGAACAAACAATCTAAAAAGCCAAACTGAGCTCAGCAGTGTTTCAAGTGAAGTAAATGGAGCCCTAGAGAAGCTAAAGCATATGTTAATAAACGAAAGTGGAGAACAAGATCAAAATAACCCACACCAAAAAGAAAAACGATCAATAACTCACCTTTCTTTTCTTCGTTCGCTATATGACCGCGTGCCAGCAAGTGACTTCCCCCAATCAAAGACAACCTATTACTTCAAACCCTCGAGGGAGCGCCGAGGCAATAGATACCGTCTCCTATTCCTGACGTTGTTTTCTATTTTCTCCTGCTCAACGAGCAAAAACTCTGCACACACTCTGAAACCATAGTAATCCAGCCGCACATTACGAACATCTCCGATCACATACAGGTAGATATTACGAATGTACGACTAGATAATACGTGCGCAGTTTTTCTCCCAAACTTTATTTTAAAATTTAAAAATACCACATGTATCCCCGTCCCAACCATCTCGTGATTTGTAATTATAATGATGATAGTGAATAATATATTTTCAAAATTTTTTACAATTTTTATATTTTTATTCTATAAAAATTATTCTTATTTATCACACTTATTTTTGTTTAATATGATTAATATACGGTATCAGAGAGTTATCTCCATGATTCCTATAATTTTTTTATTATTTTTATATTTTGGTGTGTTTTTATCTTTTTTAATTTTCATTGTTATTTAATTATAACATCAAGGATTTATACATTTGACCCAAAATTTTGAATTGTAGATTCTCTACCAATAGGAAAACAACTCCATTTTTTGTGTTGGCTTTAAATTTGTATTTTAATTTTTTGGTAAATAATTTGTATTTTATTTATATCATCAATAAAAATAAGTATTCTTTGCCATACTTATTTTTTTAATATAATTAATTAATATGGAATTTAATAAAGGAATGAGAGTTAATACCCTAAATTTAAGAGATGATTAAATGAGGAAAAATGTAGTTGCTCATATTACATTTTATGACATTACAATTAGAGAGATACCCATTTCACAAATAAAGGTATTCTAGTCAATAATAGGATTCAATGAATGTGAATATGAGTTAATACCTCCAATATAAGACTTACTCAAAGGGATTTGAATGAAGAGAAAAGTGGTTGTTCAAATTATATTCTTGTCCCTACAATTATAGAGCAACTAAATAAAACATGGGTAAATTTCTTAAACTACCCTTATGGTTTAGCTAATTGACTAAGGTGGCGTTTGATAAATTTGAAAATTCAGATTTGAAAAATTAAAAATATATTAAAAGTGTCTAAAATATGAAAAGAAGCATAGATGCTTTTCTACTTTTTAGAGGATCTGAATTCATAAGTTTGTTTGTGTTGGATCAACCCTTTACCATCTGAAATTTATTGACTTTGTTATTTTACCCCTAAAACATACTATTTGGAAATGTTGAGTTCAATTTGCATTATCTCATAAAAAAATAATTTTCAACCTCAAAATAATATTGAAATAATGCAAATAATAAATAATAAATTAATAATTACTAATTAATAAATGAAACAATTAAAATTAAAAAAATAATGACTATAAAAATATTAAATTAATTAATAATTAATAATTTACACAAATAAAAATTAAAATAATTTTTAAAAATTAATGAAATCATTAAAAATCACTAGTTAGTAAAAATAATTATTAATTAATAAATAACACAAATAAATTTAACAAAAATAATTAATGTTTAATAAAAAATATTACAATAATTAAGAATTAATAAAGACAATTTATAGATAATAGTTAATAAATAACACAAATAAATTGAATAAAAACAATTAGTGTTTAATAAAAAATATTAAGATAATTAATCATAAATATTTTCTAATTAATGATTAATAAAAATAATATTATTATTATTCACCGAACCATCACTACTGCATGTTGTAACTACTATGGTGGTGGTGGGAAGACAGGGGAGGGAGAGAGAGCGAGATAGAGAAAAAAAAAAAAAAAAACATAAGATCTAAACCCCAATCGATCGATCTATGCCTTTGAAAAGATAGAGACACCTATCGTTTCCGGTGACAATTAGAGTAACAGAGATAAGGGGAATAGAATACAGATGAACATTGCGAAAGCCCTCTCAGCAAAAGCCATGCGAGCCCACTGACGAAGCCCTATCAATCTCACTGACGAAGCCATCTGTGTTCACAAAATCTGGATGAACACACATTGCTTCCGGTGATCTTGCCATAGGGATTGAGATCCCTCTCGAGGGATTGGTCATCAGTAACCTACCTCCAAGAGCACAATAAAACCCTCAATCCCCCGAGAGCGAGAAAGAGATAGAGAGAGGGAGAGAGGGAGAGAGGGAGAGAGAGAGAGAGAGAGAGAGAGAGAGAGAAACCAAATGAGTCATGCGCGAAAAGACAGGGGTAGCGTGTGTCATTTCCAAAATATTGTAATGGTATTTTGGACTATGCATCAGGTTTCAAATGCGCCTGAGCACGTTGCCGACCCAATCTCTATTATTTTCAAATTTGAAAATAAGATTCATACCAAGTTTAAGAGGTAAAACCAAATAAGGGGTGAAGTCTGAAAAAGCAACATTTTTAGATTCATACCTCTGAAAAGTGCAATCAAACGACCCCTAAGTGTGCCCTTACTGTTTGAAAATTGACTGATGTTACCCCTACTGTTTCTAACAATTGTATAAACATTACTAGGGTCGTTAAACATGGACGAAAAAATGTAAAATGATCGGTTTACCCTTAAATTCAATCAAATGGAGCCACCTTACAACGGAGATCTAAGAGGAAAAAAAAAAACAATCTCTTGTATTGTTTCTAATATGAACCCAGATCTCAGATAACCTCGATGAGAGCCATTGGAGAGATCGACGGTAGCAAAGATCTGAGAGCAAAAAAAAAAAACTAGTATGGAGAACTCTAGACAAATACTAGTCTGAGTGGGTATTTATAGGACAAAGGAAAATATCAGGTGGGATCTAAGATAACCCAAATCATCGTTGCTAAGAGTTGCAGCAGCATTGAGAGCCACCAGAAAGATCTCCAAACAAATACTAGCATGAGCGGGTATTTATAGGGCAAACGAAATGAAAAGGTGGGATCTGAGATAACCCAAATTGCCGCTGCTAAGAGTTGCAACAATGATGGTAGGGGAGGATAAATAGGGGAGGTGAGGTTGAAGAAGAAGGAGAGAGAGAGAGAGAGAGAGAGATGTGAGATCCCCGCCCATCGCCGAGAGACCAGTTATGGTCGGTTAGGTTCTATGAACAGCCACCACCACCTGCACAATTGCAATGACAGCATCTGCTACAGCTACCATGGCCACAACTACCAAAATGTGTGCTTGTTCTACTCCTTCTCAGCCTCAATGTAATAAGACCTCAACTAAGCAGCATCCGCTTAACTTATGTTATTCGGAATGTTAGACGAAATTTGACCCATTCTCCCTGAATCCCTCCTTGACTTGCCAAAACTCCATCTTTGTTATCTTTCCGATCGCTGGAGCTAGAATTCTCCCTATATTCCTTATCTTTCTTTAGTCTGAGTACAACAGCTTTGTCGTTGGCAACGACAACTCTACACCAACTGAAGCAACAGTTTATGGCTTGTACCAGTGCAGGGGTGACCTCAAGACATGTGACTGTTCTGGGTGGCTCCCAAATGATTTGGGTATGCTTCCAATGAGTTTGTTTGATTGGAGCATTAGTATTTGCAGTCTGCTAAGGTTTGTGAGAGAAGCCGGGATTTTCAGGTTAGGGTTCTTCAGCTTGAGTTCTATGAATTGAAGTAATGGGGGATTTTCAAAGATTTCTTGATTTTCTAGAGGAAATCTCCTCCAACCATAGGTAAGAGAAAAATAGAGAGAGGTAAGAGAGAAGAGACCGGAGGTTTGAGGAGGAAGGGGTTGCTGGTCAGAGGAAGGGGACGTGGGAGGGGGTAATATTGGGTTTTAAAAGAAGTTTAAACGTCACGTGATCTCATGTGTATGCAGGTTTTGACAAAATATTAATGGATGTTGATGGTAAGGGTAGAGTTAGTCAATTGTCAAAAACAATAGGGGTAACATCAGTCAATTTTCAAACAATAAGGGTACACTAAGTCAATTAGCTAAACACCTAAACCATAATGGTAGTTTAAGAAATTTACCCATAAAACATTGGTAGAGAGCAACTAAATAAAACATTGGGGTATTTACTCATACAAAAGTTCCACACTCTCATTCACACTTTTAATGGCAGTATGGTTTTACTATGACTTTTTGTATAAAAAAAAATAATACAACTTTTCAAAACTTTAGGGAAACCCATATCAATGAGTTTTATTGTCCAAAATTCACCTTTAACCTTTCGTTGGATCTATTGGTTTATCATTAGTGATTATTAACAAAAGTTGCCTACATAAGAATTTTAGTATTTTACATGACCAAACTATATATTAGGGATATTTTTGGCACACTAGTCACGTGTACAACAACATTTGCAAGAAGACAAAAGGTAGTTGACATAAATCTTCATAATTTAATAGTTTGTGACATTTATACTTCTCCAAACCTGGCACTATGTTCTTAGAGGTTTGGCTCGACTTTGAATCAAACCAAGCTCTGGGGTCAAATCCTATTTCAACCTATAGGCCCACCTTGACCTGAAGCCTTTGACCAAGAGGTCTAATTTAACTTGGTGACTTGGGCTCATATGCCCTAGACCTAGCTTGCATAGGCCCACACATCATAGACATATACATTCTTAACCTAGTTACCCAATAAGCCCTTGTCAGATGCTCTATTCGTGTTGGTTGGCCGACTTGATGAGATGCCATTAGAGTATTTATGGCACCTTAGAGGGTTGACATGACCAACGGGTGGTGTGGGGCCCATGATTGCATGGAATATGCATTGAAATGATTTATTGAGATCACATTTTATTTCATTTTCTAAAATATTACTCAATTTCATTTTCTCCCTACTCTATAAATGAGGGTGGATAGAGCACATTTGGGAGGGGAGAAAGAGTAGGAGGTTGGCCATGTCTCTCGTTACAAATCACTTTCTCATCTCTTCATTTCATTGAAGCTCTTTCATGGCCTAATGTCTCTTGTTCCTCTTCCCTTACAGCAACAT